CGCTTCGCGAGACCGTGAGAACGTTTCTCAAATGATTGTATAATAGCCGACTTTAATTTATTATTAAAACTATATTTAATATAATATAGTTATAGTCATTCGGACTATAACATATTATTTACTTGACTATTCGTTTTAGGTAAACTTGTCACTAAAATGTTGTGTAATGTGTAGTAAAGGTAAGGCTGTGTTAACTGATGAACTAATTAATCTGAATGGAATATTTTCTTTATGAATTTTAGGCAAGCCGTATCTATGGAAAAAGTGATCGCTAGAACTTAAAAAATAATTTTCGGCAGCCCGATGGATTCTTCATTGTCATCTATTTTGGCAGATATTGTTCTGGACGATTTAGAAACCTTTTGTGTAAATTCATTGACTTTTAATGTACCTGTGTACTACAGATACGTACAGATACATCTTCACGATTTCACCACGCTCTAAGGTTAATGAAATGTTATCAGTTTTTAATGCGTACCACCATCGGCTAAATTTTACTTATGAAATTGAAAAAGACATTGTTTTTATTTTCTTGACACGAGTGTCATCAGATGTAATGATAGGAGACTAATCACTAATTGGTATAAAAAGCCAACTTTTTATGGAAGATATATATCAATTTTCTTACCGCGCACCCACTCAAATACAAAATTCATTGCATTAACAACTTAGTCGATAGAGCCATTCTACTGTCTGACAATAAATTTCATAGTGACAATATTCAAATTATTAATAACATTCTAACCAATAATAATTTTCCATTTCATGTTATTAAAAACATATTTGTAGAGACTCGAGTTTTGCGATTCTGCGTGAATTGCGCTCTCACTCGAGCGGAGGCTGGAGCAGCTTTATCAGAAGGCTCACAGCACGAAAAAAAGTACTTGACATCGTATTTAGCACTCACTTTATTAACGAGAGTGAATAAGTGGTAACAAAACCGAGGCGAGCGGTAAATTGTAAGGACTAAGAGATTGCGAGGATTGTATGTCCGTACTGTATCGGAGCTCAGCGAATTCTGTTCGAAAATCCGAGCGAGCTCTGCTTGGCAAATTCGGAAGAAAGGGACGAAGGCTCGTGATGAACTCGTGTAATTTATGGGTCAGTAGCGTGATACGTCGATCTGCTCGACTTACTTCGTAAATAATTTCTCGACTTACTTCGTAAATATTATTTTCGATTCTTGAAGGCCTCAACACCTCAACATACCGCCCGCCTCGAATGTTAATTACATTTGATTACATGATTGAAGACGCTTAAGTTACAGAGATTCTTAACGCTAGAAGGGTTTACAACGTGTGTCACGCTTGTACAGAAAGGGCGCGTCGAAGATCTGTTAGTTTACGCCGATTGATCGGATGCGATTCCGCCCGCCGTGGCGGAGGTTTATTCGTGCTCGAATTAATGTCGACCGGCAGGAAGTTGATTTTTGTAATCGGTCGTTGATATTCGGAGTCGGCAGTCTTAATTTTGACGACGCGTACAAGGCCGTCGGCTCCGGGATAGCACTTCGTTATTCGACCGAGCTTCCATCGGCTAAGGGGGAGACACGAACCTCGTAGTAATACAATTTTGCCTATTTTGGCGAGGTTCTGGATTGCTCGCCATTTTGGACGTTGTTGTAACGTATGGAGGTAGTCCGTGTTCTACGCTTTCCAAATGCGTTTGCTCAATCGTTGGACCAACTGCCAGCGAGACAACCGCTGCTCATTGACGTCGAGCAAGCTAGCTTGCGGTGGAGCTCGAAGACTATCGCCGATTAAGAAATGCCCGGGGGTCAATGCACTATAGTCGTCGATGTGATCGGAAGCCGCAACAATTAGTCTTGAATTGAGATAGGATTCGATACGATACAACAACGTCGTGAGCTCCTCAAAAGTGAGGGTGTGTAGACCGATCGTTTGCTTTAAATGATGTTTCACACTTCGGATCGCGGCCTCTCAGAGTCCCCCGAAATGGGGAGCAGCGGGAGGTATAAAGTGTTAAGCGGTACCTTCTCCGGAAAGCTCGTTTCGAAAAGCACCGTTGTTAGTTGCTGCGTTAACGGAAGCGGCTATTTCCTTTTCAGCGCCTCGAAAATTGGTGCCGTTATCGGAATAAAGCGCGGAGGGTATACCGCGGCGAGCGACGAATCGGTGATACGAAGCAACGAACGCATCGGAGGAGTAATCGGAGACTAGTTCTAAGTGCATCGCCTTGGTCGTCATGCACACGAACAAGGAGATGTACGCCTTATGCGATTTGTGGCCGCGACCGGGCGCGCTACGCACCGTGAGTGGACCAGCGTAATCTACGCCGGTATGCACGAAAGCTCGCGGCGTTGGAGTGACTCGGCAAGCCGGTAGATTACCCATAAATTGTTCCGAAACTAGAGCTTTCTCATGCACGCAAGCCAGGCATTGAGGTAGAACGGAGCGCACGACCGATCGCGCGCGAAGAATCCAAACCTGTTGTCAGAGCAACGCGATAGTCAGCTTTGGTCTGGCGTGACACGCCTGGACATGAGTGGCTCGTATAATTAAATCTAAAATTATATGCGACTTTAGAATGATTGGATGTTGCATCTCGTTAGACAACGTCGAATTCCGCAAACGTCCGCGCACTCGCATGTGTGCGTGTTCATCCAAATCGGGAGTTAAAGAAGCGAGCGGACTCGACTTTGGAAGAGATTTTCCTTTGCATAGAATAGATAATTCTTCGGGAAACACCTCCTTTTGGATCGTAGAGTACCAATAGCGCTCAGCGGCTTGAATTTCAGTTGCGGAGAGCAGAAGGGAAATTGGAAGGTAAAAGTACGGATGGTGATTGATCTTGAGTTTTCCTTTAGCAACCGATTAATATAGCGCAGGATATACGCCGTGACTCTTAAAAGTTTGGACCACGACGAAAACTGGGATGCTAAATTCCATGCGTCCGCGTGACAAGCCGTATTTATCGCGATGGGGGGGCGCTCCTCGAAGAACGTGTTCGGGTCTTCGAGTGAGTCGGTCGAGGGCCAATTTTCCGGAGCGCGGCTCAGCCACGACGGGCCTTGCCACCACTGGAGGTTGTCGCGGATCATGGAGGAAAAGAGTCCGCGCGATGCTTGATCGGTTGGGTTGTCTTTCGTTGGAACGTGTCTCCAAGTTTCGTTCGGCAGCAGCTGTTGCACTTGAGCGACTCTGTTGGCAACGAATGTTTTCCAACGCGCTGGCAATTGTCTTAACCACGCTAATGTAATCGTAGAATCTGTCCAACAAATAAATTTGAAATTAGGGAATTGTAACGCGGAACAAATGAAATGAATGAGTCGCGCCAAAAGCAACGCCGCACAAAGTTCTAGGCGTGGCACACTGATAGTTTTAATTGTTGCGACCTTGGATTTTGCTGCCAACAGAGACACCTCAATCTTATCGTTAGGAGAGACGACTCACAAATACGCTACGGCGGCGTAGGCTTTCGTGGACGCGTCCGCGAATCCATGTAACTCGACCTTGGATGCGTCGGGTGAGAATTGCGTCCAGCGCGGAATTGTAATCCGTTCGAGTAGTGGGAACTGCGATTGAAACGCGATCTATTTGTTACGCACGTCGAGTGGGACTTTTTCATCCCATCCGCATTTGAGGGACCACAATCGTTGAATTAGAATTTTCGCGGTGACGATTACGGGAGCGACCCATTCCAAGGGGTCGAAAAATCGCGAAATTGTAGCGAGGATTGCGCGTTTAATGTGAACGAAGGACTCCGCCGGCATTTTGATTTTGAAGTGAAAAACGTCTTGCTGCGGATACCAGGAGACGCCCAGAATGTTTAACGAATGATCTTCATGGATATCCTTGTCTCCCGCATGGCCGTGGTCGGTGGGATCGATATCGCTGATGAGAGAAGGGCAATTACTTGCCCATTTGCGGAGGCGAAAACCGCCGCGCGCAAGGAGGGCGATAAGTTGGTCGCGAGTCTGTCGAGCGATGTCAAGATCATCCGCGCCGAACGTGCAGTCGTCGACGTAGATGTGACGCTGCATCACCGGGATTGCGAATGGGAACTCAGAACCGTCATCCGTTGTCAGTTGTTGAAGAACGCGGAGCGCTAAGAAAGGGGCGGACGCGGTGCCGTAAGTTACGGTGAGGAGTCGATATTCCTCGACGGGAGCGGTTGACGCGTTTTGCCACAGAATTCGCTGGTAGGTAGTATCGCGCGGATCCACCAGGATCTGGCGATACATTTTTGCTATATCGGTGGACAGAACGTAGCGATATCGACGCCATTGTAGGATGACGGCACAAAGGTCGTTCTGTAATTTGGCTCTAGTTAATAAGTAATCGTTTAAGGATTTGCCCGTGCTGGTACGGCTGGAAGCGTTAAATACGACGCGTAGTCGTGTCGTCGTACTACTATCGCGAGTAACGGCGGGATGTAATACGCGGACGACTGTTCGGAAGGCTCCGTGTAGGATACTTTTAGCATGTGACCAAGATCGCTATATTCTTGGAAAAACACGGCGTAGGCCTTTGCCTTTGGAGGGTCGCGATGGAGGCGACTCTCCACTCGCGCGAAATTAGCGAGAGCGGCGATTTTGGAATCGCCGAGGTCCGTCGGCGGACTGTTACGGAAAAGAAGGCGGACACGGTATCGCCCGTCGGGTAGGCGAGAGTGCGTAGCGAGAAAATGTTCTACGCACTGTTTTTTTTTCTGGCTCGAGAAAGTACTTTGCGGGAGATCCTCCACCTCCCAAAACTGACGGAGAGTGAGGTCAAGGTCGTTAGCGATCGCACTGTGATGCGTGTGCACGGGTGGTTGCGGAAGTGGCTCGGAAGCAGGCCCGGATAGAATCCAGCCTAATGCTGTATTCTGCGCGATCGGTTCGGAGCTCCGTCCTTTTCGCAAACCTTCGCGAATAATTAAGCTATGTAAATCGGCACCGATTATTATGTCAATCGGGTCGGAGTTGTTCGGATCTCGGTCAGCGAGAGAGATTTCGTTGAGATGCTGGCAATGCGCGAGAGAGGGAACGCGAGGTGGAACGTAGGTCGTCAATGATTTTAGAATAATAGCGCTGGCGGAAAACGTCGGATTATCGCTTGCTTCGGGACTAATTTTAATTTCCGCGAGATGACGCGCCGTTGAGAATAATTGATCGATGCTTGTTACGCGTATTGGATGCTTAATTCGTCGTACCTTTAACAATTGCGCTAAACTTTCCGATATAAGAGTCGCAGCGGAGCCTTGATCTACGAGAGCCCGAGCGCGAACGACTGTTCCGTTGGTTGAGAACACGCGGACTCGTGCAGTGGCGAGAAGCACCACTGGCGCGGATTGCGTAGCGCGCGAAATCGTGAGCGATACAATGTCTCCGCTCGCTTTGGTTTTGGCCGAATTGTTTGTTGTTGTCGAATCCTCAGGTGATGACCTTGAAGTGTCCGAGAGGTGAAGCAGCGTATGATGTTTGCTGTGACACTCTCGGCACCGATGTTTGTTTTTACAATCTTTAATTGAGTGATTGGCGGCGAGGCAATTAAAGCATCGTTTTTGCGATTTGATGAGTTTGTGCCGACGCGCAGGGGACCATGATAAGAATTGCATGCATTGGAATAGAGGATGCGATTTTTTACACACTGAGCATTCGAATTTTGTGATGGTGGTTGCGTGCGCGGCGACGCTTCGGGCTTTCGTTTTTACCGTCGTTGACTCGGCCGCGTTGTTCGTTTTCATCGAAAGGATGGCTTCGAGTGCGCGTATGCGATTCTCGAGAAATTTATCCAGTTCGGAATACGACGGAAACTCTACGGTATCACTGAGTTTAAGTTCCCATGCTTTTCGGGACGCTTTGTCTAATTTTTGCGAAACCAAAAAGACAAGGACATCGTCCCAATGGATAACAGGACGACCAAGATTTTTTAACGCTTGTATTGACATATTGGTTTTATCGCGTAGGGTCTGTATTTCTCGTGAGGTTTTGGTCGCGACTTGCGGAAGCTGACAGAGCGTTTGTAAGTGTGCGGTGATCAATCGGCGTTTGTTTTCGAAGCGAGATGTGATAATGTTTCACGCTACCGCAAAATTGTCGTCGGTGACGGCTAAATAATTCAGAGTGTTGCTCGCGTCACCGGTGAGTACCGAACATAAATAATGCATGCGTTCGACGTTGGACAAGCAAAGGTCGTCGATGACCATTGACTTGAAACGGTCGCGAAAGGTCTCCCACCGATGTATGGACCCGTCGAAGACCGGCAATTCGATGCGCGGAAGTCGCGAGATCGGACGAGCTCCAACAAAGATGTCGATACTTGCGTGTGCAGCGGCCGCTCAGCGGCCGATTCGGGGGCATGTTCAGCGGCTAGTTTAGGGTTCGTCCTTGCTGCTACCTCCGCCATGTAGTCGCTACACTCGTTGTAGTTGTCCTTACATGCGACGAACTGAGCTTCTATGAAGTAGAGATCCGTGGCCTTCGTTTTGCCGCTGGCGGTTGCTTGCAGCTTGGCGTCCAGTACCCGGATCTCGTTGAATTGCTCCTTGAGTCGCGCGAGGCGACTTACGGTGACGGCATGAGTCATGTTACTTTGACCCATCTTCTTAAAATTGATTAGAGCTCGATTGACGGAATTCATGAGCTGGGTCTGCTTAGCGATGAGCTCCTCGAAATCGTCAACGTCCGTGGAAGCCATGATCCGGGCGTTTTACTGACGAGCGTTCCTTTCGCCTGGTTCTCCGGTGCAAGGTGTTCTCTTCGGCTGTGATCCGGCTCGAAAGACCAAATTTGTTGAGACTCGAGTTTCGCGATTCTGCGTAAATTGCGCTCTCACTCGAGCGGAGGCTGGAGCAGCCTTATCAGAAGGCTCACAGCATAAAAAAGAAAGTACTCGAGATCGTATTTAGCACTCACTTTATTAACGAGAGTGAATAAGTGGTAACAAAAACCGAGGCAAGCGGTAAATTGTAAGGACTAAGAGATTGCGAGGATTGTATGTCCGTACTGTATCGGAGCTCAGCGAATTCTGCTCGAAAATCCGCGTAAACTCTGCTTGGCAAATTCAGAAGAAAGGGACGAAGCTCGTGATGAACTCGTGTAATTCATGGGTCAATAGCGTGATACGTCGATCTGCTCGACTTACTTTGTAAATAATTTCTCGACTTACTTCGTAAATATTATTCTTGATTTTCGAAGGCCTCAACACCTCAACAATATTAAAAAAAGATTACATGTAATAATAATATTACTAATAGTTTTGACAAAAGAGATGAAAATGACAATAAAAATTTAAACATGTCTTCACATATTATGTTACCGTATGTTATAGTCCGAATGACTATAACTATATTATATTAAATATCATATTAGTAATAAATTAGTAATTTGACATTATATAACAGTTTGAGAAACGTTCTCACGCTCTCGCAAAGCGCTTATCGCGAAAAGACGCAAACGCGACAGAAAATAAACGACACGCCGGAAACCGCGGTTCGCAAGCGAAGAGTTAACGTGCTTTGCTTGCACCTAGATAAAAAACGCGTGAATAAATTAGCCAATGGGAGAGCTTTTTTACATCTTCCCCAAAAGATGTGGAAAAGACAGGAGACCACCGCGAACGGAGAGCGAGGCGATGAAGGCAGTCGCTAACGAAAATCCAGAGAGACAAGTCGCTAATCCGGACCTAACCGAATGTACAACTTGCTAAATTCAGGATTAAATCAACATCAGAGTTAAAGGAAATAAAGATTTATTGAAAAAACTGAGATCTAATGCGAGACTAATCCGGAGTGGAGACGCCGCTGATCCTTAGGATCCCTATTCTTTAAACGGCTGAGACCCGAATTTTCCTTGTGTCTCACCAGAGACACAACAATTGGTGGCAGCGGTGGGATTACATCAGCCACAGAACCGACATCGTCCCCATCATCCACAGCGACGAAGACCTGTAAAAACACATAAAAATTATAAAAAGTGTTAGACGAGCACGTCAGTAACACTGACGGAAACAAGCAGAAGCCACGACAAGGAGAGAAAGAGAACGGACAACACAAGCAGTACTACGAGCGATAAGCAGCTGAAGACCGACAGGAATCGCCGACGTCCAAGAACAACGCCGACCTACGACAACCTCACGGACAGCGCATCAACAAGGAGCAGCCGTTATCAGCCCACGAGTGATCGAGTAGCAGCAGCCGCAGTCGACCCGTGTAAAGCGTAACGATGCGAGCCGTAATACTGTAAGTCCGAATTTATTTGATTGCGTGAATGTCAGAAGGTGACGAAACACCCCGACAAGCGATTAAAAACCAATCGTGGTTGCATAGTACACCCGTACGGTTAACAACGCGAGTATTGCTTTTAACTGCGCAAAATCTCGAAAGCGTTCGTAGAAATTTAGACAGCGACTTGTCAAACGAAAATAATACCGAGTTACTTCCGAACGTAATAAACGAACGAGAATTTCCGTTTACTAGTTTTGACGCGAGTATATTCCCAAATAATCCGAGCGACTCTGTTTAAGTAACTCAAGACAAACCGCGTTGATTGCGACCGTATATCAGCCGAACTCTGAGTAAAGTATCTTTGCGGAGAGAATTTTTATTAACGTCATACGATAGTGTAATATTCGACCCCAAAGAAATTTATAGCGAAATAAATATGGCAGAAAATACAAACGCGGACGCGATTATTGCGCCAGCCGCGAAAAATGGCGAAATAAGTATACTCCGACAAACCCTTGCCCAAATGGGACAGAATTTAAACGCCGCGTCACAATAACCCTCCGTCTTAGCGCCCGGGGAAACTTTCCAAATACCTAATACAATACAAGCTATACATGCAGAGCTACATACAGTAAATACACGTATAGATAGGATAGAAGCCGCACGGGCATACACACACAGACGAACGACGGGAGTCCGATTACGAGCCTCGTATGACTTACGGACGGACTGAGCGCGACGTACGAAATCGACAGAGTACTGCACGACAATATATGTCTCTAAAAGAAGCGCGAATGATGATACCCGAAGTCGACGGTACATCGCGACACCGCCTTCAGGAATTTCTAAACGCATGCACATATACCATGCAAAACATACACCTTGGAGAAGAGTCTCTGATACAAGGCATACTATTTACTAAATTAAAGAGTAAAGCCATGCAAGATTTTGAAACGCGAGACATACAAATGTTTGAAGAATTAAAACAACTAGAGACCGCATACCAAAGCAAGCAAAGTACTGCCCACTTGCAATTAGAATTCAATTCACTAAAGCAGAAATATAATGAGACAGCACAAAGTTTTGGGCAACGCGTCGACCAACTTGCAATGAATTTATACGATTCAATGATAGAGGGAGAGAACCATGCGAGCTCAGAGAAACGCACTATTTTAAAAACGATCCAAAAACAAGCGTTATTGAATTTTCAATTAGGGCTACGAAGCGATTTAAAAGTACTCGTACGTTCATATATATACGACGCTTCAAGAAGCGATAGCCGGCGCGAGCGCGGAAGAGAGATTTATCGGACCTAGCTCGTCACGGGCAACTACTTCCTTGCTATATAAACTTGAATCAGCGCGACCAGAACAGCGAACGACTGGACAATGTTATAGATGCGAAAAACTCGGACCTTACGGACGAGACTGTCGTAGTAAGGTCAACGTCTTGCCGAAATTGGAAAAAAGTAGGTATACTATGGGGGTTCTAACTCAGGGGCAATGAGGGGGGTGCGGGGCGGGAGGGAATCGGGGGCGAGGGGGGTGACGTCACGCGGGGGGAGGGGGTCTTATCAGTAGATAAGCTTATCTTTGTTTATAAACATATCAGATAACCTGATAAGGGGATCATGTTACCTGATAAGGGGATCATGTTACCTGATATATTTATAAACAAGATAAGATAAGGGGATCATGTTACCTGATATGTTCATAAACAAGATAAGATAAGATAAGCGGCGTCTTTGAGCGGTATCAAAGTTTTCATAAATTTTCTCCGAAAATCCAAGATAAGATAAGCTAAGTTTTCGAATCCAAGATAAGCGGCGTCTTTGTAAGGTATCAAAGATAAGCGGCGTCTTTGAGCGGTATCAAAGTTTTCATAAATTTTCTCCGAAGATAAGATAAAAATTCTGCGAATGGCTGCCGCCGTTTCAGGCCGAGCGCCGACAATCGGATATCTATTACTAAGGGGGTTGCGTTTCTTCATCTAAATTTGATAAGATAAAAATTCTGCGAATGGCTGCCGCATTTCGAGCGCCGACAATCGGATATCTATTACTAAGGGGGTTGCGTTTCTTCATCTAAATTTGATAAGATAAAAATTCTGCGAATGGCTGCCGCAAAATCCAAATCCAAGCCGAGCGCCGACAATCGGATATCTAAGTTTTCTCCGAAGATAAGATAATTCTGCGAATTACTAAGAACAAAAGGTTTGCCGACAATCAAGCGGGTTGATCCGTACAGGTTGCGACATGTCAATCCGATCCGGCGTGTCTTGCCGACGGGGTGAAATTTATCTATGTATTTCTAAGAATTATCAGCGATATCTAAATTTTCTTTGAAGATATCACACAAATATTTCTCGCAAATTAACAATTGCATCATCATCATCCCCACGAACAAAGGGATGATCGGGATATATAATGAGGACCGATGCAGCTGCCGGACCATAGTACCACTGGCGAGCGCACGCTCTCTTCATTCAGAATGTTTGTAATACTATCAAATGCTTCCGACATTCTCAGTTTAAGTGCCGAACAGTTACAATATATTCCGAAGATTGTTTTACTGCAAAAGTGCGGATATTTCGTAGAGCATTTGTGGGAAAAACTGCCGGAGCATATCAAGACGGATCCGGAGGTTCAGACATATCGTCGCTGCCTCGAACACTACAATCGGCCGTGGATGCGAACGCATATTGACGGTCCTGCACCGATGATC